TCGCGCGCTGTGCTCCAACGGCCGCCTCGCGCCCCCCTCCCCCCGCCTTCTCCCTTCCCCCGCCGCTCTTGCGGGCAAACGCAACGCGCTTGGGTCGTCGCACGCGGTGCGTGGGGCCAACGCAGAAACGGGCTATACCCTCCAGGCCACCCTTTCAGAACAAGTAAGCGTGCAGCCGCGGTGCAGTTTACACAATGGCTGTGCAAATCGATGCATCTCTGTTGACTAGTAAGCTACCTTCTTACGGTTCCTGAGATTTAGCCAGAAGCGGCGGGCAAACGCAACGCGCTTGGGTCGTCGCACGCGGTGCGTGGGGCCAACGCAGAAACGGGCTATACCCTCCAGGCCACCCTTTCAGAACAAGTAAGCGTGCAGCCGCGGTGCAGTTTACACAATGGCTGTGCAAATCGATGCATCTCTGTTGACTAGTAAGCTACCTTCTTACGGTTCCTGAGATTTAGCCAGAAGCGTTTCTGTGCTGGGATGCTCTGGCTGAGAATCTGGTGAAGGTGAGCCCGGTGGGGTAACCAGGGCTAAAGCTTTTTCACTTTGCAGTTTCTAACTGCACGCATGTAAGCACATGTGTAAGCATGCAGCGCTGGGGATAGCCTCCTAAAAATTGTTATTTAGGTAGAGACTGCAGGATCTCTGTAAACTCTGGCCACAATCTCAGCTCCTTCCCACTTTCTTAGTCTGAATAGAAAAAACCCAAACTGGCACAGCACAGGTAATCATCAATGCTGCCCTCTGGGCAAAGCTGCTTATTTTTCTTTTGAACTAGGGAGTGGTACGGAAAATGGATCAAGGGATATAAGTCTGATATGCATCTTACTGATGCAGTAAAGCATCAGAATTCCCCTTTAGTGCTTCACATTATTTTACAGTAAGACCTTTACAGAAAACATTGTGTTTGTAAAGCTGAGATTAAAAAGTAAATGTGTTACTTGAAGAAAGGGTAGAACTGGCAACAGTAGGGACAAGGTTTTATTTGTTTATATACTTCACGAAAACAGCAATGGAAGATTCTTCATGTCTCCTGACCTAGGGGCTGCTTGTGGCCTTAGGAAGGTAGCTATTTCTTTGTAACAACCAATTCTCTGCTTTTCTGCCTGAAATTGCTAGTGTTGCTTTTGATCGTTATATGTGTAAGATGGGTGTGAAAAGTAGTATCCACCATTCCAACGTTTCTAAGCAGTTTCAAAGCAGAAACTAAATTTGGAATACCTTTAAAAGTTGTGCGGATTCAATCTCTGTGCTGTTTCAAAATTACCACATTTTATGCTGCTGCAGGTCATGAGTGAATTTATTAATAAAGTCTGTCTGTAAATTGAATTATTAAATAAAGGTAGTATCTTTGTACAGTCCTCCTTTGCTAGGATCAAATTTAAATATCTTATACTTTTACCCTCCACTGTTTTTTGAGTTCTTCATACTGTCAAGCAGGTAGAGAGGACCATCAACTTCTGTTTTTCTCAGTTTTTCGGGAACGTTAAATGTGGAAATTTTTTTTAGCTTTTTTAGTTATGGATTGACCTGTGCTGTGGGCTTTCTGAGGTAGACTGTGATTGTTTTCCCTTGGATTTTTAGTTTATATTCAGATTGTATGGGGCCTGGAAACCTTCAGTTCATAAATACAGATATGGTCATGTGGTTCCTATTTAAAGGTTGCTTTCCAAATGCGAGTGTTCCTTGTTTGAAGAGGTATTGTTAAGAGAAACCTCTTTAAAAGGCCTAGAGTTATTAATTAGCAATGGAGGCTATTAAAATTTCATGACGACTTGATTCTTTATCTTCCATAGATAACAATATTTCCAGGTCATGTATGATACCAGCAAAGTTAACTGGACGTTTGCTTTCTGAAGGATCATGCCGTAACTATGGCAGATATGAAGGAGTTAGGAATTTTGCTGCAGCCCTTGGCTAAAAATGAATAATGAGCCCTTGGCAAATGAGTGGAATTAAGTCAGTTACATAATATGCTTCTGAATATGTGTTAGGTATAATTTAATTCCGTTATTTACAAAATAATATACTGAACATTATTTCTTGATGGAAAAATACTGTGATCAAGCAACACTTGGGAACACCTAGTTAAAAACAAGTACAGTCATACACGGTTTTCCAGTACTGCTGTCTGTCTTTGCTGTCCCTGGATTTTGGTAATACCTCCATATTTATCTGAACAGGTGGTCAGTCATTCTTCAGCCGAAAGGACTCCATCCGAACCATCTACACATCTCTGCATAATGAGCTGAAGAAGGTGGTGGCGACGGGTCGCAATGCACTAGGAGGAACAGCTCCTCACTTGGAAGAGCTGCTTTCTCACCTGTCTGAACAGCTCTGTTTTTTTGTTCAGGCTCGGATGGAAATTGCTGACTTCTATGAAAAAATGTACACGCTCAGCACCCAAAAGTTCATTAACTCTGAGGAACTGGTAAACATTTTGGAATCCATCTTAAAGAAATACAGCTCAAGGTCAGTGCTTGTTTCTTGGCAGTAGGTACTCAGATATATGACAACCTTCAACAAATGAGGTTGAGGCTCAAAGCAAGCCCAATGACTTTGCCATCCTTTGATTGTTAAGCAGCTCAGCCCTTTGCATGAATTCATACCTGTTTTGGTGAGCAGCATCAGATACTGTAGCTCTCAAAATATGACTTTTCTGCAAAAAAAAAAAAAAAAAAAAGAGATTCTTTCTGCTGATCGTGATCTAGGAGCTACCTTCCCCATTCCGTAATTTATATCCAGCATATGAATATTCAGCAAAGAGGGAAGGGTCATTTTCCTCATAAGAGTTGAAAGAATTCTCTCACTGTTTCATGAGGGGCGAAGTGGAAGCAAGACTTAAAACCGTGTGAACTTCAGTAAAAATGGATGTAGAAATATTTATTTAAATGTGACCATTTTATTTTAGACCAGAATATATGTCTGCTTCTTTCATTATAAAAGTTGCATATTAGATTCAGTATAGGCCTATCTGCAGTTAAAAATCAAACTCATTTCACATTGGGTTTTTTATTTTGTTTGTTTTTAATAGCTGTCTGGCTGACTTAGAAGGGCTTTATGATGCTCTGAAATAAATTCTCTTGAGAGTTATTGCAGTGAGCAACAGGAGCACCTCTGAGTGTCTAGTCCCTGCCTTTATGATTTCTTGACATTCAGATTCAACAGTTATATTTCAAGGATACTAGGATATTTCTAAATGATTCTAGGATAGATATTTTACTTAGAAAACATGGGAGCTTTGCAAGCGATGACATCTAAACAAGAAAAAGATTCTGAGGTAAATTTTACGGCTGACTTTTCACCAGACTAAAGTTCTACCTCTCTATTTTAAAAGCAAAATGAGGTAGCTCTTGTAAGAAGATAACTTTCAAATGCAATTTTTTTTCCCTATCTTTCATAAGCAAAAAAGTGGCTAGGAAGACATTTGGCCTGGATGTTCTGAGGTTTTGTTTTTTGTGAATATTAAACTAGATTTTTAAAGTGTGCACACAGGAAAAACCAAAATAAGTCATTGCTGCTTTCTGACATTCCACATCTAAGCACTGCAGCTGACTCACTTATTTTCAGAAATAGCTTAGGCGAATTGCTACATGACTGTGCTATTATGAAGTTAAAATAAGTCTAAATATTCTGCTAGTGATTTTTGGCAATTCATGGTCTGTGAATCCTTACAATGTTCAGGCTGTTTGTTCAGTGGAAAATGAAACTTATTGTTGTGTTAAATAATTGTGTTAAACTTATTGTGTTAAACATTCGTTAAAGAGTAAAGGGAGGTAAATTTGTTTAAAATTAATTTACATTGTACACTTTCTAACATTTTTCTGAGCAAGTGGTGAATCAACAGCAGTATTAAATCTGAAAACCAAAATTGATACTCTAACAAAGTGACTAGAGACTGCTATATGTGAAATGCTTTCCTGTGCTGTGTGAAAAATTTCACTGTCATTGTCTGTTCTTCTGATGTGTTAGTTTAATCTTTCAAAAAAAAAAAAAAAGGCAGTGTCTCCCAGGGAAAATAATGATCTTGCTTTGGGTTAATGAGCCATCTCTAAGATGGAGACTTTCTAAGATGCTCTTAAAGCTAATTCAGTAACTGCTCTGTACTCTTCCCCGGTAATGTACAGGATGCTTCTAAAAGAGAAGTGCGGATAATGGTATATTACTTTAGTCCAAATAGTTCTTTGTATTTCAGAATAGTTTCTAGTGGCTGCTATGTCAAAGTTCTCTGGCTGGAAGATATTTCATTATTATAGTCTGTAGACCCTCTCAGGTGAAAGGCCAAATAAACTCACCCTTATCCCATGTGTTCTCTTGGGAATATGTTCCTCACTGGTAGTTTAGGATGTGTACCATTATTTCAGTCAACAGTTCTAAGGCCAGACAGGATATTTGCTCTCTAGATAGTAGGTTTTGACCTTGATTTCTTTCTTTACATATGCAAATAAGCGTTCAGATAACATAGGGCAAACGTGCTTACTGGTAAAGGAATGGAAGAACTAATTGTCCATCAGTGATCAAATCATATTGCCTTTGTCTGAAAAATCAGAACTCTTGAACAGTTGAAAGCTATTTTGTTACTACTTATTGTCTGGTACTGGCTGTTTACAAGTCAGTGTTGCTGCTTCTCTGTATTTCTATAAGGTACAACTGGAAAAGCAACTTTCTGAATTTTTGAATTGTTGGTTTGGCTAGGATGTTAAATGAAATAATTTAAAGGATACTGCTGCTGATGCAGGTGCTGTTTTAAAGTGAGAAAGTAACTAGTAAGCCTATCCTCGTGTGTGTTTTTTTTAATGTTAAATGCTTTTTATCTTGTCAGCATTTTGTAAAAGTATGAGTTTTATAGAAGATGGAAAAAGCTGTAGAACAATGAGGCTTCTGTAAAGCCTGCAAAATATAACTCGAGCATCTCTCTGCTTTGGAGAACGATTGGGGAAAAAATTCAAAATTTCAATGCGTTCTTTAGTTCTTAACACTCTGTGGCTTACTGAAATAATATAAAAACCTGTCTGTTTTATGTGATTCCAAGCTTAGTCAGATGCTTCTGTTGTGAAAGTTAATTACTGAAGATATACATGGTACTTAACCTGTTAGTTTATTCTGCAACCATATCAAGCTTCTCAGCTGTGGCTGAGATGTGTATTTTTGGATTAAAACAGTTTAACAAATCCTGCTGTGCAATGAAACGTGAAAATAACTGAGCCATGAAGCAAAGTGGAAGTGGGAAGCTGTACATCATAGTGTTAATACAGGAGACTTGGCACTATTGCATTAGTATGAATTTTTTAGTTGCTTTTAAAGCTGAAGAGTAACCTTAGGTCAGTCTGACTGTAAGTGTGTTGAAACTTACATTGTACTAAGTGTATGCTTGATGGGAATATCTGGAAGAAATAATTTTCATATTGGAACCCCCCCCCCCCAAACATTTTTCTGCTGGATAGCAGAAGCACTGCAAATACGTAGTGTTGCTTATTAGCAGGATATTAGTTTTAATTGACACTTATTTTTTTTGGAAATTCAGATATGCTCTGGACTTGTCAACCCACCAAAACAGCCAGTAGTCACTGACTGCTTTGCTGTAGCAGGGAGGCATGAACCTTCCTGACAGAATATTGTGCACAGAAGGTGGCAGGTCACCTAACCTAGCTTGTTTACAGAACATGGTGCATCAGCTGATCTGCCTTACTCATCATTTAATTTTCTTTCAAATAAATTCAGATCTTAATAGCAAATCCTTTTAAGACTTGTATTGTGGCTGTCAAAAAAAGGGATGCTTAAAAATAACATCAGACAACTTTCGCAAGCCAAGAAATAATGTTTTTGCTAAGAGCTTGATGGAAAATCAAGGACAAAATAGTGAAAGGGGAGAGGAGAAAAACCCTAAAATTCTAGTTCTCTCTTCTGGACTGTAGCAAAATTAAATGCTTTGGTTCTGAACCAAATACTTCCAAAACTGATTGTATATATTGTGTTTTGGGAGCTGAGGGGGATAATGGAGTGGTTTTCACTTTGTCTGAAGATGAGCTGTTAAAGGTTGGGGGAACTGAGTATGAACTTCTCTGTTTTAAGGTAATATCAAGACCCAGGATATTTTTCTGAAAGGGACGAGATCTATCTACCTTTCCTTAAATAGAAAGGTCATATCGTCATATCTTGTCTTTGAACTATTGGTTGTTCTGTATTGGAGATGACATTAAAAGCCCTAAATGCCTATTATGGGAATCCTTTTACTAAAAAAGCCTCATTCTTAACTTTTAAAAGAATGAGTCTTCAGCAAAGTATTTAACTTTGGTAACCAGAACAGTTTTGCACAATTTTAATTAAAAGTGTATTTATTGCTGATGTTATAAACTTACAAGGGAAAGGGGCTTGTAGGCTGGATCTGACTTCTTTTCCCCCCCCCCCCCCCCCCACGGTTAACCGTTCGCATCTTCTCTGCATACCAGCAAAACCTTTGAACACTTGCAGCCCCTTGAATGGGTGTGGTAGGCAGACTGGGGAAATCTGTGGCAATCCAATTGGTGCATGATTTCCTTGCTAAAAACATCATAAAGTTCCCGTGGAACATTGAAACTTTGAGTAGGAAAATGACGTTTTAAGCATTATGCTATTTTTTTTATTCCATCCTCTTATGTAGTAAGAAGTGACCAGGAATATCGTTTTCTTGAAAAGGAACAAATCTTGCCCTGTGAGTTCTGTACACGAGGCTATAATTAATCTTGAAGGAATAGCCTGTAATACAGGAGTTTCTATTGATGTTATCAGGCAGTTTAGAATATGAATTTTGCTACATGAACTGTATTTCCATGCAGTCTGCAAACACGAGGATGTGCAAGTGTTTTGTCCCTAAATAAGGGGAATTCTGAAATACAGATTTTCTGAGGGAAGAGAAAGCTACAGAATGCATCTATAAAATTCCATTTAATTAAGGTCTGTTCCATCCTTCTGTAATAGCACTTCTACCTTGTACATGAGATTTTTTTTCTTCTTTTTAGCATCTGTTAAACAAATTGAGAGCTGGTCTTGTCCTGAATTCTTAATGAGAGAGAAATTGGTCAGTAAAGCATCTTCATTGTCACATGATTAAATGCTGCCAAACATTTTTCCCCTTCCTTGCTTTTAGTACACCAAGGCTTAAGGTTTGAGAGCTGGTTCATTGGTGAATGCAGTTAATCGTGGTTCTATTGACTAATTTTCTATCACTGTTTCGTTGTGAATTAAAAAGGGTGTGTGGGGGGAAAGCTCAGCTTAGCTTCCCTCACAGCTTTCCTACACAGCCAGTGAACTGATAACGTTAGATAATTTTCTTGGTTTGACTAAATGTCTTACTGCTGTTCCAGAACCATCAAAACATATTTTATCACCAGGAGGAATGTAAAGTTGAAACAAAAACATCCGAATTTAAAGAGAAACGGTGCTTTAGTATTTCATGGATCGTGATAAACAGTGATTGTTTTTGGTCTGACCAAATATGACTCCCTTGCTTCGATTAAAAAATGAGTGGCAGGTGTTTTTTTTTTAAACATGAAGAATGCTGTATGTTAATGTTTATGCCAAAATTATGTTAAAAAGAATTGTCTTTAAATTGACAAGATTATTCTTTGTTTTATACTTTCGTCTGCTTTGATGTTTGGTTTTCTGGCTGTGAATTGATGTACTAACTGATGACTTCACTATTGTGTGTGTACAGCAGTTCTCATGTTTTGAATAATGTTATGTTTTCTAGATTTCATCACCCAATCCTCAGTCCTCTTGAAAGCAGTTTCCAACTGGAAGTAGATGTGCTTGCACATCTCTTAAAGGCTCAGGCTCAGATCTCAGAGTGGAAGTTCCTTCCATCCCTGGTCAACTTGCACAGTGCTCACACAAAACTACAGACTTGGGGCCAAATTTTTGAGAAACAGCGAGAGACCAAGAAGCATCTGTTTGGAGGGCAGTCTCAGAAGGCTGTACAACCTCCACACCTCTTCCTCTGGTTGATGAAACTCAAAAACATTCTCCTTGCCAAGTTTAGCTTTTACTTTCACGAGGCCCTCAGTCGACAAACAACAGCATCTGAAATGAAAACTTTGACTGCTAAAACAAATCCTGATTACTTTGGGAAAATTTCCAGTTTTATCCGGAAATACGATGCTGTCAATGTTTCCCTAATCTTTGACAATCGTGGATCAGAGAGTTTTCAGGGACATGGTTATCATCATCCTCATTCTTACAGGGAAGCCCCCAAAGGAGTGGATCAATACCCTGCAGTGGTGTCTCTGCCCAGTGACAGGCCTGTTATGCACTGGCCCAATGTAATCATGATTATGACTGATAGAACCTCTGACCTCAACAGTTTGGAGAAGGTGGTTCACTTCTATGATGACAAAGTCCAAAGCACATACTTTCTGACTCGTCCTGAACCTCATTTTACCATTGTAGTTATTTTTGAGTCCAAGAAGTCAGAGAGGGACTCTCATTTTATTTCTTTTCTCAATGAAATCTCTCATTCCCTAAAGAACTCCAAAGCTTTTGCAAGTTTGAAGCCTGGATCCAAAGGGTAAAATACATACTACTTGTAAGTTGTCACGGCAATGTTCTAGCCTTGGGGGGAGCTGTAGTTTTCACGGATTACATAAATTCATGATTCTGAGTCTAATTAAAAAGGAACCGTTATTTTTAATATGTTGTCAGTTCCTTTTTTTTTTTTTTTAAGCTAACAAGAAACTTGAAAAAATTATTTTGGGCACTGCTTAGTGGGACAATTTAATTGTGGGCTTCTAAACAGCCTCAATGGGATTTTTGTGTGGTTTTCAGTTCACAATATGAATTATCTTTTCAGTCCATAACTTCTTTGCTCATGTCAAAATTGAATATATGCACTTTATCATAGTCTGCTCATTGACTGTCTTTTACAGAGTTCATTGAAAATGTGGTTAGGATGGAAGATACTATCTTTCAGAAAACTGCGTTACTTGACAGGATTTATATCTGGGAACTATATGCTGATACAAGGGAACATTAAAACATGCAAATCTGCATTGACACATTAAAAAAAATGCATCACAGAAAGCATTCTTGTTAATTATAATTCAGTTTTCAAATGCTTTAAAAATGATAGTTGAGGTCTCTGACACTTCCATGTTAAACAGCAGTCTCTATTATGAGCAAGCTGTAAAGTATGAAGCTTTGTTATTTCTCCAAAATACAGATTTAGGCAAGTAAACCTGAAGCGTGGGTTGGAAGTACAGTATTCACAGGAGTGTTATGACACTGTGTCCAGTACTAATCTTGGCTTAGATTAAATTGCAGAAGGCAAGTTGAGGTTGAGCAGGTATCTTAGGAGGAACCTATCAGTGGGGAAAAAACAACAAAGCTCTTTCAAATTGTGCTTTTTTTCTCGCTACTTTTGCAAAGCAGTAGGAAATGTCCTTTTAAAGTAAAATATCCTGTAACTTGTGGTTACGGTCAACCTGAATTTGTTTTCAGATTTTTTTTTTATACACATTGTTTTTTCTTTCTGTTCAGGTTTGAATAATTTCACAATCAAGCCAAATTACTTTCAGAATTTAGATTTAAATAGTTATATAGCCTATGCAATGTATTTACCTCATTCTAAAGTCTCCCTCTCACCACTTTCCACACCTTAAGTCTACAAGTGAGAGTACAGTTTCTAGTTACTCTGCAAGTGCTCTATTTATTATGGAAACAATTATTTGCAAATATAATACAAGGGTTAAGTTGGCTGTACTGTAGCCTTATATTGTTTGATTCTTCTGAGCATTAGCTATGCCGTTCTACAAGCACTTTTGTGCAAATTCAGGAGGGACTAATATGGGTCTGACATGTGATGCGTAGACCCTTTGACACCCTTTAAGGTATAACAACAACAGATTTATTTTAAAAGGGAATTTAAGTTAAAATGGTGATTTCTCTTCTGCGTAGATTTGAAATGCAAAAGATACCTTAACAGACAGGACTTTTATTGATTCGCTTCCTTCCCCCACAAAAAGGTTATGGTAACTTGTCTTGTGTCTTGATACAAAGATCTTGAGGCAATATATTTCTTTACAATCATGCAATCAAAACAATGAACAGAGCATAAGAGCTCGCTTCAGAGCATAAGCTCTGACTTCCTATTTTGTGCCAAACAGAGCCTTTCATGCTTTGCTATATGTTCCTCTGTTGTAAATATCTATGCCACTTCCTTTTATCTGAAGTCTTAACCTGACTGCAATATCACTCGTAAAGTTTTAAGACTGTTTTTTACCACTGGAAAATAGCAGGAGTTGCAGATACACCAGGAACTGGACAGCACCTAATTGTGATGGTGTTACATCTGCAGCTTGTGTTGCCCTTTTAACAGGACAGAAGGCTGCTAATGGCAGTATTGAGAGAGTTTGTATGTTTTCCCTCTTTGGGACAGTGACCTTGTAATAACATTGTGCTATTGACTTCCTCAGCCTAAATAACAGAAAAGAGGCTGTTACCAGAACTGGTTCCCAGTCTTCAGCAGTGTAATAAAGTGTTGCACAAATTCTGTCTGCTTCTACAGTATTTTTCTGTGATATTAACTGTGAAGGGGGGTGAGGAGGCTGGGGGAAGAGAATGTGTGGGTGCCAATACCTTCTTGCTGATTTCTGAGTTGCAGAGGACTGCATTATTTAAAAGGTTATATGTTGGAAGAGGTGAAGGCGAAAGCTGCTGCCCTGTGGAGCAGAGCTGCAGCCTTTACTAGTTTCTGAAACGGCTGCAGGCTGCAGCAGCTGTTTTTAGGGAGAAGGGGAAAAAGAGGACAACTCTCACAACAAACCGCTCCTGTCACTGTTTTTGAGTGGTTTTTGTGGGAATGAGGAAGGTATTCTGGGTGATGCTTACGTGCAGGAGGAGGTGAGAGTTGCTTCGCCCTTTCTGAGTGGCAGGGTTTTCTTCAGAGGATTTTGGGGAATGGGCCAGAGGGGCCATCTGGCTCGTGGGTAAGGATTTCTGTATATTTAGGCTGATGGAGAACCAACTGGAGCCATACCTCTCATGGTGTGGAAGAAGAGAGGGAGTGGGAGAGAGGTGCAGACAAACTGTGGGAGAAAATGGGTGCTATCAGGTAGGAGAGGGGACCGAGACTGTGGAAAGCATGAGGAATGGCCCTCCCAGCAGTACTATGGGAGCTTTGTCTGGATGGGATCCCAGCTGTTTGCAAGGGAAAGTGATAAACCATTTGTATTTTGGAGCATAGGAAGCAAGTCGCTTCAAATCAAAGATTCTGCGTTCATATTGCGCAAATGCAAACGCTTCCCCCGCCCTCACCCCTGGCATGCAGGGAGAAAGCAAGCATTATGCATTAAGCCATTCCGACTAGTATACTGCACGCTTTGTCCTTAGGAGTTGCTCAGTTCTGTTCCTGCCATTTTATGGGTGTATGGAAAGCAGTGTCTTTTCTTGAACTTTGTGTATTGTTATATTAGGATAAGTGAATTGAGGCTATAATGCTAGTGGTTGAAATAAAGTGTTGAAAGGAGAAGATGAGTTCCTTTAATTACAGTAATGGTGTAATGGTGATTCTTTTTAAAAAGAATTAGGGTGGAGAAAAGCACATCAGATGAAACTTATTCTCACCTACAAAGCTCAGCGTTTGGCTTAATAAAAATAGCCAATTTTTATCTGGTCAGGAAAACAGAATGAAAATATATTGACGGAGATTGTAGCAAAAAAGTAAATATTTGCAAGTAGACATGTTTCACCTACTCATTTTCACCCATAAAAATGTCTTTAAATGATTTTAGAAAAGCGTCACGTTTGTTCACAGTTACTGAGTTAAAAATTTCCACTTGATTATATGTAAAACATGTAGATGCTAGTAAACTACCACATGGCGAAGCTTAGTTCCTTTACGTCATAGTCATGGAGCATGTAGTGCTCCAGCTGATGAGATGCAGGAAAGGGGATCAGGACAAGAGTAATTAAGCTCAAAGCCTTAAGTGAGTGCCATAAACATTCTTTAGCAATTGTGAACTTGACATCTAGCCTCTTTCTATTGTACTAATCCAGAATCCCACTTCTGAATTGCTCTTAATTTAGGAAGTGTTGCAGTGTGGTTATGTGGTATTGAATAAATATGGGCTTATAAATATTTTTTCTAAGTATGCAAGCTTGGGAGCCTAGAACAGTATTGACAGACATTATGAAATGTTGTGGGTCTGTCTCTGTATTTCAGAATTCTTTCCCTGAAGCTCTCCCTATAGGAACTCAGCCTTAAATTAATAGGAGATGGAGAGCGGAAAATGTAAGCCATAGGAGGAAGCTTGGGTGAAAGCCTCTGCAGAGGTGCTGCTGCAGATAAGTAAATATAACAGAATCTGTACTGGATAATTTTGCAGAGCTGAGATATGCTACGTCCAAAAACTATTGAGGGAGCTGACTACATGTGTGAGGAGTGAATATTTATAGATGTGTTAGTCCCTTTCAGGTATAAGACAGTTTCTTATCTGATGCCTTGAGGAGTTAACCTTTTAAGTGATGATGATGACGTAAAGGGGAGACCGAGTTCTCTACTGTATAAAATTGGCTAGGCCAGTAATGAAAATTCTGCATAATTAAGGGGGGAAAAACATGTGGAATCGACAAAGTTGATCAGAGACTCTGATCTGCCAGCTTTTCTTTTCTAGTTCCAATTTAAATAAGTAAGGTTGAACATACTAGTGTACTTTAAAAGTCTTATATAAAAGATTACTTCAAATGCAAGATGTAAAGATGTTTATGGCAAGAGAATGAGAGCCAATGCTTCCAGCCATATTTAAAAGTTTAAAACAGATATTGAGGTTTAATCTTCTTGGTACCTACTTAAGTTGCTTAGAATAGCAATGTAAAAGCTTATCTTGTAGCAAATTTCATATACCTCATCACTTAATTGAGTCCATGAGGATTTTGGCAGAACTTTTAATTTAGTATCGCAAATCCTGGAATGCAGATTTGACTGCAAAAAGTATTCTCAGATCTCTTACGTATTTTATATTTATGTCTTGTAAGGTGTTTTTTTTTATTTCCTAAAATAAAACATCCTTCCTTTTCTACCCCTTGGCATGAAGACTTAACATAGGAAGTTGAAACTGTTAAGGAATACATGCAAAGTCATATATGTACAATGCACATACTCTTCAGGTTTTAATGACTTAAAAGTAAAGTACATTCCTGGTATCTGTCTGAAATACCAAAGCTCAATGTTTATCTAATTCACTTTATACATACATATATATTTACACACTATAAGTGGAAATAATTTTCTGGCCATCTCCCAGTGAACTATTGCTTTTTCCCCAGTGCAGCTCTGGTTCACTGTTTTTCATATATGAGTCCTTAGAGACACTTGTGCCCTTTCTAGTGATTGTTCTTTGTTTGAAATTGGTTATTTGGGGTTTCCTTTCTTACGTGTCTATAATGCCTGCTGCTGCGGATCCGTCTATTGCCTTTTACTGTAGTGGTTCCTAAACTTGTGACCAAGCTTCCACACCTCATTTGCCAAGTCTCATTTTTGTCACAATATCTGCTATAAGAACAGTGTCGCACGCTGTTGCTGGCCCTGGAGTTGCTGTTAGCTCTTTGATCGCTTCCAGAAGTGCTAGCACTAAGCTAACTAGCTTGGCTGACACGTTGGTGCTTCTGCTCTGCTTTCCCCTGAAGTCCCATTTTCAGACTCCCAGAAAAGTGAGCCAGCCCTGGGTGGAGACAGCAGAGGTTAAGCACTGCTTGTTTTTTTGGTCTCTGCCTGACCCTCAACAGTAGTAAGTTTGTGTCCTGCCTGTTGGGAACAACTGTTTTGCTGCTTGACTGAGATAGATAGGCTTTTGGCTGT